GGGGGGAAAATCCTGCTCAGCCGCCAGCGACGATGGAGAGACCGCAGCAGGGGTTTGTGTCCCCCGGGGTGTTTGCTGCAGGTCCCCTTTACCCGCGGGATGGGGGGGAGGCGGAGGGGGGGCCTTGGATGTATTTGGCACTCTGCGCTCCCCGCTACGTTTGGGAGGTCCAAGACCTCCGGGTTTTGTCCTCTTTGAGCCCTTCTTTTCCTGAGGGGTGGCACTTCCACCCGGTTTTTGCCCTAAAACGGCAGTGAGCCTGTGCAATTCCAACCCCTGCCAGCTTCTGCCTGCAAAAAACCGCTTCCTGCCTGTTGTTTGGCAGCTGGGTAAAAGTTGAGGTCCGGTTTTCCACCCTGAGTGCACCCGGCTCAGCCTGGTTTTTGGGAGTAAACCCCGCTGGAGGGTGGTGGTGGTGATTTCGGCTCTGGAAAGGGCTGCGTGGTTTGGCACGGGACGGCGATAATCGGCGTGCTCCGGGCAGGATGGCTGCCCGCAGGGCGAGGGACGTGGGGAGCACTCGGATGAAACGGAGAGGGAAAGGCAGCCGATGTCCCCAATCCCGGGATGCGGTGCTGCCGGGACAGGCCTTTGCCACCGTGGGCTGTGTGCCAGCACCTGTGTACATTGTGGGAGTCACCGGCCACCCAGATGTCCCCACGTGGCCACCCGGGCTAGTTGCTGCTCCTGGGGGATTGCCCGGGGAGGACCCATCTGGAAGGGTGGATTTGGGGAGGGGGGAGGCAGAGGAAGGTGTCCACCTCTCGCTGGGCGTTGCTGAAGAGGCAGTGGTGTCTTCGGGTACCCGCACCTCGCCAGACGAGCTCGCTCCCCCATTTTGGGAGGAGAGGGGTTAAGCCAAAGCATCCGAGCTAAGCCCTGGCAGGAGGAGGCTAAAACCTCCAAGGCCTTCGCTCTCCTGGAGAACAAAGCTCGCAAAGTGGTGGTAAGCTTGTAAAACCTGCGGGAATGTGGGCGCTTTCAGAGGGGGACGGGGTCCTGCCGGGGGGGAACGGGGTCCTGCCGGGCTTGGCCTCACCGCCCCAGGCAGCGCCGTGTCTCGCAAACCCGGCTTCAAGGTTATTTTCGGAACAATCGGTTGGCCGGGCTTCAAAAATGTCTTGGGCTTGCTTTTTTGGAGGAGACCGAAATCTGCAAGCCGTCAGCACGGGACGAGCGTGGCGGGATGCCGGGGTGGCAGGTCCCGTGCCAGGACAGAACTGGGTTGGATGGGGCCCCGTTCACAACGGGAACCATCCCGGAGTTGCAAACCGGGAAGGGGAAACCACGAGGCAGCCTGTGCCCAGGCCCCGGGCTGGGAACGGGACGGCTGCTGGGTGCACGGAGAAGGCGGATAGCGAATTATTTTCTATTTGTCCTTGTGAATCCCAAATTTCCCGTCTACCTTTCGGTAAAGTTTTTCCAGGAAAGCAGCCCGGGCTCTGCTCCAGCCTCTTGGGTGCTGCCCAAGGTGGACGTGCGGGTCGTGCCTGGGCTCCCACCCTCTCTCCCTGCCCCTTTCCTTTGCACCCAACGCGTGCTGGCGGGTGAACCCGGGCTCCCCCCACTCCGCCTCCTTCTCTGCCACCCTGCTTTTATTGATTCCCGGCTTATATGAAAGGAGCGGTGAGGGCAAGGATTGATTCTAGGCAAATACTATAAAGGCATCTACAGTTGTGGCTGGGGAGGACCCGGTTCATTGTAATTACCGTAGTTAAAATATAACCTCATAAAAATGCCACCTCTGGCCCCTGGGCTGCCGTGTTCTCCGACCGCCAGCGTGGGTGGGCAGAGGTCCCCGAGGTGTGCGTGTCCCAGCCCTGGTGGCACAAGGGGGACCTGACGTGGCATTAGCGTGGCCGGGGGACGCTGTGTGACTTCCTCGCCCTACGGAGAGCCGAATCCGGCAGCTGGCGTTGGTATAAACTGTGCTGCGGTTTGCTGGCTGCACCGCTGGCAGAGGCACGTATGCAGGATCCCTGTCGCAGCTCTTGCATGCTGCTGCCTGCTTTCCCACCACTGGCCGC